TAGTGCTGAATTATTGTATATATTTATATACTTGTGTAATATTGATATTATTTTAGTCGTTGATGTCAAAATTTTACACATATATTATCGTGCAGATATTCAAATATTATTTACATATTTAATTCTAGATAGTTTGATGTTTGTGTCATTACACATTTGCTTATCACCACCATTTTTTGGCATTTGTACTATTTTATATCTCAGATTTTCTCGATGCTCAAAACTCATACAAGCTTGTGATCGGAAATTGGAAGTTTATTTATATTGAACCTTATCACTTCTTGAATTTAATCATGTATTTTTTATATTTTATATTTTATTTTTTATGGCTGTACCAAAAAAAATGTCATTTCTTTATGATCTTTACCTAGAAAACTTTTGCGTTGATATGAGCAGGGTTCCTACCTCGATGACGCTTCACATTAAATAGTTATTTCAAGTAACTTTTTTTATTATGGTTATAATGTTATATTATTTAGATATTTTAGGATATTAGATATTGTAAAAACATCTATATATAGAGAGAGATGTAGTGACTATCCGAAACGTGTTATTCTTAACAAGGGATCATTAATATATAATTTCTTTTTGCATTTCAATAATAATAATAAATAGAGTACTTTTGCACTATAATATTTCACACTAGTTGATTTGCACTGTAATATCATTCATGATATACTCTTATATTGTTAATTAAAATACATAACATAAAGAATATAGACTTTTGCTAGTTCTCTCCGGCTCTCTCAATTAGATTTTTTTTTTTTGGAATAACATTTCATACAGTAAGCTAGAAAAAAAAAGTTTTCTATCAACAATATCAAGCTCATTCCTTTTTTTTCAAACATATATTTGATTTTTTAACCATTTATCTTTTACAATTAACTGTTTTAAACTTTTATGTGTAAAGTGAATTTCTATGTTTTCTAAATAAATAATTAACAATGGAAAATATTATCTTATATCAAAATTTAAATTATTGATTGTAAATCTAAAATATAATTTATAAACTTAAATTTTTTATTTATTATAAATTTTAATTATAATATACTTCTTATATTAAAAATATTTATTTATCATAACTTTTAATTATATGGAAACAAATATTTATCTTATGGAATATGTAAACATTTATTCATAAGTACTTATAGAAGAATTTATCCATATATAAATAATAAAATAATAAAATAAAATAAAATGAATCATCTGAAAAAGTTAAAATCAAGACCTAAACACATTATTATAGGTTAATCATGGAAGCATAAAAAAATGGATCACCAATGTATTTTCAATTAAGAACACTTATTATAATCAAGACTCTTCAAAACTTTTTCCTTAATTTTCTTTATTGGTCAAAATATAACAACTACAGTAGAGTTCGAATTTAAGAGTTTATAATAATGTATTTAATCTAAGTCTTGATGAGACCTTAGGCTTCGGGAACTGTGAAAATAAGTTTTCTATTTACTCTACCCACAATAGAGTAGTTTTATACAACTTTGAAGTCTCAAAACTGAGTTTCTAAAGTTGAAGGATGAGATGTGGGAATCACACTTTTTTGTGTGTCACTGTAAGCTGTCTTTACCAACATAAAGGAAAATAAAAATACCATTAAAATTTGATAAGATGAAATTTTAATTGAATCAAGAAATGTTACAACAAATACAACTTACCAGAAGTGTTTGTTGTTTTTTCCACTGAATCCCCCCGAAGAAATTATGCTTAAGGCATTATTAGACAATAAATATGAATATATTTTTTAGCAAAAATTTGAACCATGATTTGTTACATTAAGCAAAACTAGTCCTAAAACTATTCAATTCCATTAGCTAAAATGTTTTTTTTTCAGTAAAATATCCAAACATTACTTTTAGCTAATTATAAAATGGGCTATATTTTATTTTTGTCTTTTATTTTACTTTTTTTTTATACTTATTTTGGTCTTTTATATGTTAAATGTTAATTTTAATCTTTTTATTTTTTTTATATTTAGATCAATTTAATCTTTTTTAAAAATATCATTTTCAATATTGTAACACAATTTTAAGTCAATTTTTTATTAATTTAAGACGTGAAATTTAAAATATTATATTCATGAAAATCATAAAATTCAATTGTCATTTCAATAATAAAAAATATAATCATAACAAAAATCACGTTAGAAAAATATATTCTAAGAATAATTAGAAAATAATATGAATATATATATATATTTATTCATTTAAAATTTTTAACTAATATTTTGATTTATATTTATGCAATTTTTATCATATTTATAAAAAAAAATTGTTTGAATTTTAGTTATATTCAATTATTTAAGTGAAACTAATGAGATAATTTTTAAGTCATGATTTAATTAAAAAAATAAATTAAAGTTATGTTTTAAAAATGAAAGTAATTATTATTTTAAAGGGACCAAATTGATCTAAATTTAGAAGATAAAAAATTAAAATAAATATTTATCATCATACAATCATAATTATAAGCAATCCATCATATCATCTTGAATTCGGCTACTTATACATAAATGTTTATCATAATTTTAGATCTTCTTCAATCATTGACTCAATGATAGTCCAAAGTTACTAATACATTTTATATTGTTGAGAAACTAAAATGTATTTATTTTCTTTAATATTTTATAAAGTAATATAAAAATAAAATATTTTTCCATACAAAAGATATAACATCATTTAAATGCCTAACAGTGTTAAGTGATAGGAATATACTTATAAAGTTCTAAAATTACGAGGATTAGTTAACAAATTTTAAATTATAAAGATGAATTAAAAATCTGATAAAATTGTGGGTATTTATTGACTAATTTAACCATAAAATAATGTCTAAAAGAATCATGCAGACAACTTTGAAGAGTAGGATTTGACCCCTATTTCAATTCAAAGCAAAACATAATTTAGGAGGTATTTAAAGTATAACCACATTTTAGTAGAGTTGCAACTAACACAGAAAGAGGGACCACAGTAGCTTGTGATTAGAGGAATTGGGCCTGGTATGAGGAGGCCTTTCCCACACTGTCATGAGCGAAGATGGGTTGTCTGTGACGGTGGATAATTCATTTTCATTAAGCAAGTTGAGGAGGAGCAAGAAGAAACACGACCAATGATTAAAAAGCTTGATTATCTTGAGCAAAGTCCCAATAATGAAGGAATGATTGAGGAACCTATCTTTAAAATGAATTTTTTTTTTTACCAATAAAAAATCAAAACAGCTATGTTAAGGTTAAATTACTCTCTCAATTATTTATTATAAGTAAAAATAATTGATTTTACGTTATTCATAAAAAATTTTCCTAAATTATTCCTGTTATAAATGTTTTAAACTAAAAGGTCATTTATTGAAAAATACATATTTTAAAGAAAACATCATTAAATGATAAAAAAATAGTTAATTTTACTTATATTTAAGAATAAAAAAATATTTTTCCCTATAATATAGAAAGGAAAGAGTAATATTTTAAGGTTTAATAATAATTATTTAATTTCTATAATTTTATAAATTTTATTTTATAGTCTTTATGGTTAAAAATGTTTCATTTTAATTTTTATACATGCATTTTTGTTTTCTTTTAATTTACCATTTATTTGTTATAAGGACAGAAAAATAAAATTTATAAAATTATAGAAAATAAAAAGAAATAAAAATGATATATATAAAGACTAAATGAAGTGTTTTTAAGTATAGAAACTAAAAGATAAGATTTATAAATTATAGAGACCAAATATTTATTTAAACCATATTTTAAATCACAATATTAAATTTTAAATGTTTTGTTTTATTTTTCAATATATCACAATTTTATATTTAATATTTTTTAATCCCTTAAACTTTATATCAAGGATTCATTAGGGAGTTCATAATAATAATTAATAATTTTATGAACTCGTAAGTTAAAAAATAAAATAAATCATAATAATTAAGAACAAAGCTAAGTTCAGTTGTGCTTAACAAATCTTGAGCTTTAATTATCTTCCTTGGTGATGTTAATCAGGCCTAACGTGCTACCCTTTTACCCTTTACAGATTTAGGCATTTGGCTAATAATAGTTTAGTTGTCATCATGCTTCATGTCCTCATCCTATTTAACAACCATCAACATGCCATGTGCATCTAATTGCTCATCGCCCAACATGGCAGCCCCTATCCTCCCTCTCTTCTTTTCCAATCTTATACTTTTTTCAATGGAATCTTTTTTTTAAATTCATATCTTCCTAAATAATGGTATGTAAAGTTGAAAAATAATTTAATTTATATTATTTTGGAGGCACTAATTAAAAGGGGACTTCCCTGCGTGAAGATGGTATTATCTTTGGGGTTCGAGGGCCAGGGTGTTAAACATGTGCCTAATTAGTTCATCAGATATATATGATCAATTAAATTTGCTTCCATGTCCAACCCTTTCCTCTATTAATCAACAATTAATTAATACAACCGGAAAAATGCACGAAATATTTTATTATTAAAATAAAAAAAAAATTGTCTATCTGATCTAATTAAGTGTGCGCTCCTGCAATACCTCCTATGGACAATATTTATTTCATAACGAACCTTTCCCGTTTTATAAATACTATTATACTACTACTATAAAATATAAATTCACTGCAAATCTTCATGAAAGAGAGAAAAAAAAAAATCTGTAGGAGGTATCCTTGCTTCACTCTCAAACGATATTATTCAGATTCAATCCTTACATATTGGGGAAAACTAGCTTTAAAATGAGAAAACTATTAACTTACACATAGTTCAATACCGATAAACATAAGGAATGTTAATTATATTATTCAAGATGACAGTCAATATTTGAGGACATAAAAAACAAATAATTCTGTATATAACACATTAACTTCAATTGAATATATAGTAAGTTATCGTCATACACATATATGTGCGTGTTTACATGAAGAAGAGCATGAAATTTTCTAAATTTCGTATGCGTATCCAAAGATAAGAGAGGCACATTAAAAAGAATGAAGTTTATAAAAAAAGAAAAAATAATTTCTATAATAATAATAATAATAAAAAAGAAAAGAAAAAATACAAAGTAGTATCTAGTGTGTGAGGGTAAGAATATTGAGCAGCGCGACCCTAGAGTTGATCAAAGCCCTGAAAACTTTCTCAGTAACACTTTCAATTACGTTAATGCATTCCTCCAAATCCCGCATTTTGTTCAACACCAACCTCACCTCTTCCTCTCCCTTCTTCTTCAGATTCCGAAGGCTTTCCGTGACTTCCACCCCATTCTTCTCTCGAAGCTCTTCAACGCCTTCGTGCTCCTTCTTCACCCCACCGTTCCTCGACAGCTTCACCATTTGCGTCCAGGACACCCTCTTGGACGCAAAGGACGCCGCGATCCCGTTGAAAAGAGCGACGGAAACGGACACCGTGACGCTCATGACGTCAGCGATGACATGCCTCAGTTCAGCGTCCACAACGGAAGCGGGAACATGCAACGCGCAATGTTGTTGGTGTTGAGCCACACCGACACATCGGAGAAGAGACAGGAGCTTCTCCATTTCCCTGGCGGTTTTCTTCTTGCCTTTGGCGTAGGCGACAACCTTTGACTCGTCGCGCTTCCTTATGGCCATCTGTAGGGAAGAGTGGTCTTCCTTGAGGGCCATGATGGACGTTTGGAACATTCCGTAGGCGTCCACGAAGCGGAGGAAATCTTCTAGAAGCTTCTCGACCCAGAGAGGGTGGGCTCGGAGGGTTTCTAGGCTTTGGGGGAGTTGGAGGATGTGTTGGAGGGTTTCGTGGGTGTCTTTGAGAAGGGTGAGGGCGTGGGAGAGGCTTGCCGAGGTTTCTGGGCTGGGCTTGGAGGCCCATGTGCTGAGCTCGTTGATCTCTTCCTTGATCTCGGAGATCAGAGGGTGAGATCTGCACGGGAGACTGATGGACCTGATGTGATGGGATATGTGCGGCTTTGCTGATGGACGGTTCGGATTCTTGTTTGGGAACGAAAGGGAGCGCCGGAAAACACCTACCATTACCATATTTAGAGAGCAAGAAAGAATGTAGAGGGAAGTTTCGTGGCTTTTGCTTTTCCCCACTATGGAGGGATTTCCTTCCCGTATTTATATAATAACGTACATCAAATGTTTCTAATATAATTATTATCTACGTTCTACAATACTTTATTCAACATTTCTTCTTTTAATCTTTCTCTGTCACGTTATATTCTTCGTTTCTGTAAATACACGTGCACACGAACGGAAACATAGTCGTCGAACTTGTTTTCCTCAAGAAAAAAAAAAAAAAAAGAAATTAATTGAATTGACAGATAATTAGGAAAAGTAATTTTTTATTATTACAAAGTATTCTCTATCAAACACGAACTAATCACTCTTGCAAGTTTGAATTGACAGATAAGAAATTAATTGAATTTTTTTTTCTTCTATTTGAGTTTCTATATTCTCAAATGTGAAGATTCAAACTTCAGCATTGTGAATTCTTTAGCACTCGAATCAACCAAGTTGATAAGTTATCTAATTAAACTATTATAGCTTCTTCGATTTATTTGTTTTATTTAATTTCTTTAGGGAGAAAAGATTAAAACATATAAAGCATAGCATGACGGTACACATGACGTTATTTTTTACAATTTTATTTGTTGTCTTTGTCATTTGTTTATATGGGAAGTGAAGAAAGATAATTCATGTTGTGAATTTAGTTTGAAACACAGAGAAAGTCACGTTTAGTTAGGAGTGCAGTATATAGGTGAGTAGCTGTCTCAAAGACATGCAAGTTGGCGCACAATCATGAGAAGAAGCGCGTGCGTCGGCGCGGTTTCTCCTGTAATGTCTGATGTGGATGAAATGGAATCTCAAATGATTCATACTTTCCGGCGATTCTATAATTTTTCTATTCATTTAACGCGTGCTCATGCTGCACAGATATTGCCATCCGTTGGAACTCGAAACTTGATCTGAAGATGTGTACTCCAACTCCAAGAACATTATACGCTGGGTTTAAAATTTCTAACAAGATTATGTGCAAATCTCCAAAATATCAGCGAAATCTTCTCAAAGTCAAACAGCTAGCTAGCGAGCCTTTTTGGTACGGTGGAGAAGAAAAAGTATTTTGCATTCAACTCACACTATGTTGAACTTGAAATTGGAAGTTAATTTGAACCAAATAATGGCTTAATTAAAACTAAAACGATCATAATCATCTATTCTAGGCAGGAATTGTTGAAAAAATGTTTCCAAGTCCTAAAAGGGCTAGTACAGTTATCATATATCACGACTCACGTTTAATATATATTTTATTAATATATATTTTATAGAGATAAAATTTTAATTCTAATTAAAGAATAATACCGATCACACATAAATGATTGTAACTAAATTTTGTCCCTTTTTTTAAAAATACTACTAGTAGGTACCTTCTATCAGCCTCAACAATCATGTTCATTGAAATACTGTATAATTGATGCATTTACGTGTAAACGTATTGGTGCATTAATTTGCTAATCCTAATACCGTTTCAGCCGTAGTAAATAGACACACCATGTGGCATAGTAAAAGGAGAGTTAATTCATCGAATAAAAAGGTAAATTATAACAATCTAATCGCTACGGACTTCCTTTTGTTTTTTTGTAAAATTAACCGTTGACCACGTAAGAAGAGTGTGACTCCATTTCATTACGAAGGAACGAGTGCTGTAGTAACTTAAGAGGTTGAGTCCCCATCCTAAAGGCTAAAGCTAGGACCTCTGCTATATCTGAAGAAGCTTCAAGCTTTTAATACATGAAGATGACAAGAGCTCAGTAAAAATAATGTTGCCTTGCCTTAGTGATCCCGAGAGATGCCTCTGAAACCTATGTATCCTCTGCTACAACAGCTGGCAAGGAGAAGGAAAGAAAAAAAAAAATGGCACTTTTCATAAGACATGCATTCAATTCAATGGCTGATATTCAATGTCAATAATATTGTTACATTAAGAGATAGAAAAAAATGACCTTTATGACTTTATCAGCAGCCGTTTTGTAATACTTGTGAGATATAGAAGTATTATTAGAAAAGTACGAAAGGTTTAAATAGGACATCTAAAGGAATGTTATTTATTTATTTTAATATGAAAAATGACTTTAAGGACACTTTCCTGTTACAGTTTTTTATTTTATTAAAAAAAACACTTCAATATAGAAAATGTTGTTTTAATGACACCTAGTAATATAGTATATACCAATAATTTGCTATCCAAGTGTTACTAAGTTTTTTTAACTATAGGCTTAGACCAACAATTGTTTAAGCTAGTATTATAGTTGATCTTCAAGTCTTAAAATTTTAAGAAGGATTAATTTCAGATAAAATAAATTATGGATTTTACTTTTTTTTTTAAGCTAGAATGACCCTCATGCATTTGTATAGATCCCGTTTTTATGTATATTAAATATATATGTCAAATTAATTTTTTTTATATTAAGATAATATAATTAATTGTTTGAATTTTTTTCAACAATATTGAAAGAATTATAAAGTATTCAAGTTGGGTATAGTCTTATGCATATTTCTTATTTTACTTAAAATATTTATAAAATTAATTGTAAGATTTTTTTTCAGTATGAAAATTTTATTTAAAAAATTAAAAAGAATTTAACTTATATTAAATTTAAATATTTTTATTTTAAAATATGAAATGATAATGTATTTAATTATTTTACAACTATATTGTAAATAAAATTTTATTATATCTATAATTTTATAAGCAATCTTATGAATATCTCCTATGGTTTAATATAAAGTTATTGGAAGTGAGAGTGACAAAATCCTATATGTTCTATCTTGTTATTTCGTCTCATTCTGTCCCATCCATCCTACTTAGTAAAGTGAGCTTAAAAATCAAACATTCTCTATTTATAAAAAAATGTAAGTTTTTTTTACATGAAAAATTATTTTAAATTTAAAAATAATTTAAATCATCTTAAGTTTAAATATTTTGTAATTTTAAAATGTGAAATAATAAATTTACTTAATTATTTTACAATTATATTGAAAATAAAAATTTATTACATTTATAATATTTATAATTTTATAAACGATATTTTAAATACTTTCTATGGTTTAATAAAAAAAGTTATTGAAAATGAGAGTAATAAAATGTTTGTGTCTTATCTCGTCAATCCGTCACGTCCTATCTCGTTTTGTCCGGCGCCCATTTCGTCTCACTTAACTAAGTGAATTCAAAGATTCAACTCACTATATTTAATAATTAATATGTATATATATATAATATTAAAATTAAGTAAATAAACAATTTTAAAAAAATAATTAAATAAGATATAGTAGATGAAATACAAAACTTCATAAAAATAATTAACAGGACTATTTACATGTAGTTAATGTGATATCTTATTGTAAAAAAAAAAAATCCAAAAAATAGAGGTATCGTGGAACTCCACCCTGAGCAGTTGTTGGAAGTCTTCTTGTCATAGAGGTCCCCTATTGTCGAAGGGGTATGTCATAAGGTCTCCTTTGTTAGCCGTCTCTCTTGGACCCAAATGGTCCCTCCTAACACTTCATCACTATGTTGCCCCCTCCAACCTCTCCACAGTCTTCACCTTCTTCAAATATAATAACCTAAGGTTACTATACAAGTAGTTCCTAAATATACATCCAACAAATATATATATATACATAGAGAGAGAGAAGGGATCTGTTTACTCTAAGAGTAAATTTATCTAGAATTACTCCGTTCAATAACTCATGTTTTATATCAAATCTCAACGATCAAACCGTTGAATTTAAAATTTTTAATGCACAAATCAAATCTGTAAAATTTTAAAAAATTTTAAAATTATTTGATACTTCGTTTCATTAATTTAAAATTGACAGATAACATGTTTTTATAAAGCTTTGATTCTTGACTCTGAAGCTTCGAATCACCCACCAACAACTAAAACTACACCAAGGAGAGATGGAAGAAGTCAATGAAGTTGGAAGGAAAATGGTTGGCTTTGAGCTCTAGAGTTTTTCTCTCTAACTTCTCTTTAATTTTCTTTAAGAAGTGAATTTATGAAGCTCAAGTCTTTAAAAAAACCTTATATACCCTCTCCTTCAACTTGACCTGTACTCAAAATAATTTTTAACAACTAAAACTCATAAGAATTCCTAAATATTTAGAGTCTTTCAACTATTAAACAACTAATCATAAGAATATTCAATTTAATAAAATCAACAATTATTAATAAAAACACAGTGTTACAAGTTGCATGGTAGAGCCACAACCGGCAAGGAAGATTGAAGTCATGAAAGGTGAAAGAAAATCAAAGGGAAAACTATTAGAGGAAGATATATGAAAGGACAAAAAGCCATTAGAGAAAGAGTGGTGGAAAAATATTAAGGTGAAGTTGCAATCCATAAGGGGTGAAACAAAATGAAGAGGTTACACATAGAAGCACAACAACGCTTAGGGTTTTGAGCGAGGAAATGAACGAGTGTCTTTTATAGGCTAGGTTATTATTTGTCACTTATATCTGTTGGGTTCAAGTTCTATTTGATTTAAGTTTTCAAAACCAAATTTAATCGATTTTATACATTTTAAATCAATTTTCATACCCAATAAATTTGATTACCTAATTTAAGTCGTTCGACGGTAAAAAATTATCTTTAAATTTTGCGGGTATGAGTCAATTGAGTAGAATTTGCTCACCTCTAATATTTATCCTTTTGATTTTAATTATCTAAATATGCTAGTAGGGATAATTATATTTTTTTCAAGAGAAATGTTATTTCGTCCAAAATAACATGTCCAAAACTATTTTGAATTATAAAAAGTTAATTTAAATTGTAAAATATTAAATTAAATAATTATTTTATAATATAATAATTAAGAAGTGAAAAAAATTGAATGGTCAAAAGATGTTTTGAATTCTTTCTTTCAGAGAATATAGCATTTATTGTAAACACGTTTTTCTTTCTTTTCTACTTCTTTTATATATCTTAAAGGGTCAAATTATTTAAAATTTTACTTATTTTTCATTTATTTTCATTTTTATTTTCTTATTTTTACCTCACTTTTTTCTTCTCAAAATCATTTATCATCCAAATAATGCATTAATCTTCTACTTCTTGTACAAGTACTATTTTTCCTTT